AAGCCCAAAATGAAGTGCCATTCAAAAGATATATTTTCAAGAATCTTTGCATTTGTACCCCTACGGGCAAAAGTAAACATATAGCATACTTTTCTACAAAAGTAAAAATGTGGATCACATGGAAATCAAGTAAAATGAATGCATGCAAGGCCAGAATTAAATCCGAGCACGACCCGATAGGTTACGCAAAATGAAACGATAGTGAAAAAGTGACGGAAAAAGAAAACTCAGAAATATATATATATATATATATATATATATATATATATATATATATATATATATATATTACTTATATATATACATCATCATATATATTACTTAGGAAAATGATCGGATCATTACAAAAGGAGACGTGCATATATATGATGATGTATATATATATATATATATATATATATATATATATATATATATATAACTTCAGAATTCTAGGAGAAGAAGGATTCGTGCACATGAAAAGGAAACCACCCCCTCCTAAAATATTTCCTAGTTTATAAGAGTTGCTCCAAATATCATGCAACTACTATTTCATGGAAGAAGTGTTTAAATGAGGGTGTATGGAAAGGATAATATATGACCAAGTTTATCAAGAGAAACTTTAGGAGTTTTTGCTAAATTGTAGCAAACTACCTAATTGAAATCATGAGTTGGTATTCAAATTAATGGGAGACGTGTATATAAAATGGTATTTATATATATAGAACTTAGAATTCATAAAGAGAATGATTCATGCACAAGAAAGGGCGTTATTAGATCATGGAACACGTGGCACGATCCGGACCTTCCAGTGGAAGTTTTCAACTGCTATTGGAACAGCCGACTTTCCATCTGGGCAGTTTCAAAACGTGGGAAAATGCTTGTAACATGCATTTAACCATCAAGACCATTATTTATAACTTGTAAATCATAGGAGAATATCATTTTACACATGTCAACACTATGAGAAAGTTGGTGAAGATAATGGGACACTTGGAAGCCCAAGGACAAGCTAAGTGGAAGTTGTTGAAACTATTATTGCCAACTGCTGTAAAGAAACTCTATAAATAGAGCACTTAGGCTTACCATGCAAATCTTGTTCAACGGACACAACAACTCAATACAACATTTTGCTTTTTATCATTTCAATTTCATGTATCTTTACATTCCAGTAATGTATTTCAACTATGTTTAATACAAGTCTAGCACTTTCTTTTCTTACTTTCCAGCAAGTAGTTCCTAATTCTTTTAATTGCAAGTCTTGTACTTTTAATTCCATCTTTCTTTCCACTAGCACTAGAACAGTCCCGAAGTCATTTTTAAGGCAAAAAAAACTTTTGAAGGTGGTCATTCCAATCCTTCATACAATCGTCTGATCCCAAAAATCTCCAACTGGAATATTGTTTGGTGCTCCTCTTTGGAACGACAACAGTTCCTAGCATGGTCGCACCCCTCCTTCCGCTCGCCCGAAAGGAAACCACAATTTTTATGAGCCAAACATATTGGCACGCTTGGCCGGACATCTAGATAGATTGTTCCATAACTGGTGGAAGAAGGCAAGGCAAGTTTGTCCAAGATCCCTGCCGAAGTAGAAGAGATACAAGCCAGTGAACTTCCAGTGGTAAGTTTAAGAGTTGCACCCGAAGAAAAAGATATGGTTGAAAAGTTTACTCAAGCCATGCCAAACAGGCCTATTATATATAACATCCGCATGATGGCTTTCCAACAAAATATGTATACTCAAGATCAAGTAAAAGTTGCTCATTCTCAAGAGCGAAAGTTAGAAGATTTGGTAGACCAAATCTCTCATAGGTTTGAATCTATGTTAGAACGGTCTTTTGAAAGTTTGAATCAAAACTTGGCCTCTAGGCCAAATAATTCTGAAGGGACTCAACAATCAGCCTTTCAAGTTTTTAGGCTGACCACATTTGTTGAGAGGCTTTGTTAAAGGCAGTGCCTCTCAACAACATATAGGTTCATTCCCTCCAAACCAGCAGTAGGTACAATCTGTTCCAATGGCACAGATTTACATTCTAGTAGCACTTGTGGTTTCTCCAGTGGCTTAGATATCCATTCCACAATCAGTGCCCATGCCAATCATTCAGTAGTTCTAGGTTCAAAGGGACAACAGAAATTCTGAGTGATTCGCCAAAAGCATTGGGAAGATATAAATCTTCTACCTCTTTTTATGATGAGACAGTGCTACCTACAACGAATATTATGATAAACTACGCTTTTAATGACTCTTATATCTTAAAAATTCAAGTAGGGTATGGTAAGATACTCTTATTAAGAAACCACCTATATGAGTGTGAAGTGGGGCTACTTCTATGAGAAATATAAAGACTAAGTTTTCTAGAGCACTCATAAAGGCCAAGAGTTGTTCAGGGCCAAAATGAACGCAACAATGAGAACCAACTCTGTGAGATGGGTACTCTGTGTTTGTTATTGTCTTGGTTTACACAAATGAATGAACAGTTCAAGACATCACGTTCACTAGTTAGCTAGTAAATCCGATACCAATATACTAGGGAAGGTTTAAGGCCAAAAGCTACCTATCCAAATGTAGTAACTTTTCGATTATACTCTCTCTAATGTCTACATAATCATCTTTTGCATTTAAGTAGCTAATTTCCATTCATGTGGGGATTATTGGAAACTAGTTATGAAAACTAGTGTTTCTACGTACGTGTGAATGAAACTTGTCTGTGAATATGGCTTATGTATATCACGTTAGATTACAACGTGTATGTGAATTGTATGCTATTGCAACGTGAATATCTAGTTTGAATGGTTATGTGTTATTCCATGCAGAGTTTTGCATATCATAACATATATAATTTAGGCCATAGTTGTCGACCGATTTTTTAACGTATCCTTTCATAGAAAACATGGTCGATATGCGTTGCAATGGTTGTCGATGTATAAGCAACGATTGTCATGGTTGTCGATGTGCAAGCAACGTTTTCCAAGACGTGTGACAGTTATAGGTTGAGCCAATACAACCCGTTGAAACATTGCGTCTAATGGCTGAATACCTATTGAATTAAATAGGTGCAATAGTTGGTGAACTGACACACCCAATCCCAATAGACACCATGTGCTCTATAAATACCTATCATCCCCATTTGGAAATTTACGCTTAAATGTTCAATTCATTCTTCTCTCACTTTCTCAACATGAACCGAACCCAAGTGGGTGTGGACCCAAGCCATATGGTCCAGTGGTTCATACCACTAGACCCAATATCTATAATAATGAACCATATTGCAATTGGTCCAAGCCAAATGGATCGGATCGAACCTAATTCATATTTTCAATAGTATAAATGCATTTTTGAGTTAGAGAGAGTGTTACACAGAGGAGGTTCTCCGTATCCATGAGTTTGTAGTGCTACTACTGGTAGATGTAAACCGTTACATCATAGGAGACAAGCGCCATAGAGTCCATCGGCACCATGCGGAGCGTAAATTGTCTTAAAGACAAAATATCCAATACTAGCCTTGGTCCAGGTTCTTTACTTATTATTCTTATTTTATTGTTTTAATTTGCATGTTTAATTAATTATTTTCTAGCATATTATTAATTATCTCATGACATATTAGTATAATGTTAGTTTTATCTTAAATAGCATATGAAGCATATATATTTTCCAACAACCTCGAGGAACGGGATAAGAATCTCCCCACCCCCCTCGGCAATGAGACCAACGTAGAGTAAAGCCAAGTTGAAAACTGACATAGAGAAGTGGGTCATCCATCTCTTCCACGGAACTCCCGGCCTCACGGAGATGCCACATATTTGGAGGAATGAAAATTTGTAAAGGATAAAGGATGACTCATCCCTCCTATTATCCTATCTCTCATTGTCTCCTCTCTACTGAATGAATGAAGGAAAGTTGTTCATTTCTTCCTATTTTCCCTCCACCCCTCTTCCTTCATTCCTAGTGAATAAAGTATAAAGATTAGAGAGAGGAGAGACGAAAAGATCGTTTTATTTCTGAAATGTTAGTTCTGTAATATTTTATTTAAAAAAAAATAATAATCATTCACTTATGAAGTTAGGGTTAAAAATATCATTTAAGTGCAAATGTAGAAAAAGAGAGTCACTTCCGTCGTCCATTTCTTACTTTCATTCTTTTTCCTGATTTTCTTATGTTTCCAATTACAAAATTAAGAATTTATGCATATAATTGGCAAGTATTTGTTTACAATTATAAATATATATTTTTAAATATTATTAATTTTTTTTCGAATTTACAAATTTTTTTTTTTTTTTAAAGACAAATATTATGCATAGTGGATTATGTGAAGCCATCTTTATATTGAAGTGGTACCCAATGGAACCGGTTTGAGGAAGAGTCTTGTACTTGCCCGGTTTCCACCGAACCCTATCTTTTTCATTTTCCATAGATGAAGCATCTCCATGAATGAGACTGATTCCTTCCATAAATGGAGGTGGCCTTGATACATCTTCTCTAGTGCCATTGTGGTCCAATTGATTCTCCATGCTCCAGTTGATCGATTTATTAGAGATAAGACTGTGACATATAGAAAGGCATCATTTCTGGTGAATGAGTTTGTGTATGTTTGTGCAATTTGATGCAATTGTTCATCAATTGAAAACCTTAGCTGAGACCCTTTAACTAATTTAGATTCCATTCAATCCTCGAAGTTTATCCCATGTAGGCACTCTAAAAGTTGTCTTTTCCACCCTCTTTTTATTTATTTATTATAATTATTATTTTGTAGTTTTATAATGTATGCGGGAATCATAGAAAGCAGATTAAAATTTGACTTTATGTGATCACAAAGGAACTTTTACACATTTCAAAGTAGAAGATTGATAGTTTAAATTTTTACAAAGGACAAAGGTGTGTGAGTTTCTTTAAAAAATAATAAAAATAAAAAGAAAAGAAAAGAAAAAGGAAAAGACGACCTTATGTGAATTTTTATTGGACCACTCGGGAATAAGACCAAATTGAGTTTTCTTTTGTAACCCTATATAATTCCTCATGCATTGTCCATCTTGTTACCCACGTCTATAGTATAGTTCTTTTGGTATATCTTTTCAGTTTTGCTATTGTCTTCACTTAGTATAGTAAGGAAATTATGGCTCAAATTTGTAAGCTTGAGCTTCAAACAGAGATCAAATCTTCTCCCGATAGGTTATTTGACATATACAAGAACAAGACCTACCTCATGCCCAAAATCAGCCCTGACCAATTTCGAAGTATAGAAGTGCTTGAAGGAGACGGAAAGAGTGTTGGCTCCGTCAGGCTCTGGACTTACGTAATGGGTAAGTAAGTGTGTGTATATATGTATACACACTTCTGTAATTGACAAAAAAAAACTCACACATCACTCACACTTTGTTCCGTTAGAGATTAAAACCCATACCAAACATGTTTGAAATATATATATATATATATAGGTATGCGTCCATGTTTCTTTTTTTATTATATTATTATTATTATTATTCCTTGACAATTAACTCACACCCCCGCTCTATGTGGAAGCGTGTTGTACGAGTTCTGTAAATTAGTTGGGGTAAATTCCTGAATACTCTAATTTTCAAAAAAACTAAATAAATAAAGAATATACTACTATTCTACGACTCCCTTGGTTTTTGCCCTCGATAATATCAATGCTCACTTTTGGATAAATTTTACATATACAGGCAGTCAAGTGACTGCGAAGGACAAGATTGATGCTGTGGATGATGAGAACAAGTCTATCACATTCAATATAATCGGTGGAGAGATTACAAAGTACTTCAAGAGTTTCAAGGCCACCCTTGAGGCTGGTACTTCAGTGTTAAATACAAATCTGATAAAATGGAGTCTTGAATATGAGAAGGCAAATGAAGACGTTCCTACTCCAAACTCTCATCTTGACTTCCTTGTGAATGGCTCCAGAGTGGTGGATGCTTATCTTCTCAAATCATAGAAATCAAGAAGACCATGGTCAGTTGTAACATGTACTAGTTATATTATATATGCAATAAAAACAAGAGTTGTTCTTGTTCTTCTATAAGGACACCTAGCTACCATATGTCCTTAGTTTGGTAGATCATTTAATCTTATGTAATAAAAGCAAGAGCGGTTCTTGTTCTTATTCTAGGACACAAGAAACACTTCTTTACTCCTTTAATATTTCGTTATTTGTGTTATCAACTAATTATATTAATGTATCATGTCATATAAATAAAAGTACTTTTATTTTAGTAGATTCTATCACTACATGTCAATATTTAATAAATTGGTAATACCATGTCATCACTATAACTGACGTAATTAAAATTTTCTCCTAGAAAACCTAATATATATCCGTGGTTTAGTAGATCTTTTAATCTTATGTTGTATAACAAACTTTATCTAGTGGCAAATTGTTTTTTTGTCACAAATGTGCAAGTTTTAGTCGAGAATACCTTTGTGGCAAAGGAATACTTTACTATAGTGACACTCAACAATTATTTAAAATAAAAAAATAATAATAAAAAGTACTTTTAAGCTTCAATTGGGAAGTTAATTATTGGGAACTCCGGGTAGAGGTTATCGAATACCACGGTCAATCAAAACATCTCATTGTTTGAGAAATTATTAGATGATCTTGATCCATTTGACACTTGGTGGACTAATTCAATGAAAGTTAATGTTGAGATTTTTTTGTAATATATTATTACACTTTTGTAGGGTCATTTTCTTAATCCGAGAGTCTAAATTTAATTGGTCCACTAAGCATTAATGGTCCAAAACGATCTAACAATTTTTCATTATGAGTGTATATGGAGTGTTTTGATTAGTCAAGGTATTTAATAACGACCACCCCATGGGAATAATGTATATTTTTTCTAATTTTTTAGAGGTAATTTCATTTTGTGTATAAAAAAGTGAAATGTAGTGCAAATATATAGAAGTGAAAAGGCAATGCGTTCTACTAGAATATGCTTTGATGCTATATGGATTTAAAGCATACACACACAAATATATATTTAAGTTTAAGCAATTATATGATGTTTAAATAATTAGAAGGATTAATTGGGCAAAATCCAAGATGTTTTAACATATAAAAGCCTGAGATGGGCATAAACAGCCCAAAATATGGGTAGCCCAAGAAGTCTATGGGTAACATTTTTTCAGCCCCTATATTTTATGGTTTATAACTAGGGATTGTAAGTTGGTCCATGAGCCCATAGTTTGGAAGCCCGTGCTAAAACAAGTCATTTTGTTAGCAATGAAACCTAAAATAATTGAAGGCTATTAATAATATTTTAGTTCCTTGCAAAAAATAAAAATATTATTATGGTTCTCAAAATGCTATGAAGCAAGCCATAGGAGGAAAGACACTTTAAAAGGACATAAATAATTTAAATTACACCATCTCTAGCATTTAAAATTTTAAATTAATTTATTATTATTATTATTATTATTATTATTATTATTTAAGTTAGGGCCTGTTTGGCAACCACACTTGATTTGTACTTTTATTTTGATCTGAAATAGAAGTAATGTTTCTATTTTGTTGGAGTGTATTCACTACTATTCGGAAATATGTTTGGTAACATATATTTGTTGCAAGATTTTTAGAAAGAAAAGAAGTGAAAACATGTTTGTTAAAAGAGTGTAGCAAATTTAGTTAGAAGGTTTTTTTTTTTTTTAGTAGTTTCGTTCATCGCTATGGTGCTTTTGCTACAGTGTGGAAGTAACCGAAAGCACCATGGTTTTGGCTTCTTTTTCGGAAGCATTTCGGTACTATTCAAATCACAGCAAATGTTACCAAACACGCTTTCATACTTTTATTTTGCTATAGTATATTATCCGAAGTAAAAGTGGTTACCAAATAGGCCCGACCCTTAGTTATTAAAATAGTTACAAACCATATAATTATATAATTTATATATAGTTAATACACACATCAACCACGTTGTTGATCAATCATTGATTTTCATTTTTGTTTTGTGCTTCGTTTGGTAAGAGAAAAAAAAAATCTAGACAGTATGTAGGGAGTGAAGAAGTGATGGAAGAGACATCTTAGAGAAGTGATTATGTCCTTTCTTCTTTTTGTTTTGTTTGATTGAAGAAAAGAGAATAAGTTTAAAATTTATTGTGTTTGTTAATAGGAAAGGGTAAAGAGTTTTAAATTATTTTTACTCACCACCTCTTTCCCAAATATTTAGAGAGATAAAATTTTATAAATGAAAAAGGATGACTCTTCTCATCCTTAGTATTATTCTCTCTTCTTTCCCTACCAAACAAAAACAGCTTATTCCTTCTTTCTTATTTATCGTTCACCCTTCTTCCTTCTTTTCTATGCAACACAGCATCAGATTGATCAATATTTTTCGTTCACCTTTCTCCCTTCATATCGAACAAAACATTAGAATTCATTGGAAAACTTTTAGCTACATAACAAGCTTTATCAATAATTGATTTTCGTTTTTGTTTTGTAGTTGATGAATTGTTCACTCGTTGACAATTTCAAGGTACACGACAAGTTTGGTGATCCCACACACCTTTTATTGGAAAAATGAAAGGATATGAAATCTCACTTCACCTATCCCCTACATCATCTCAATCTTTTCTTTGCATAAACTAGTGTGGCATTTGTTTCACTTTCACATGACTAATCCAAATAATAAGATATATATTAGAGAAGAACCTGACAGCTGTTCGGGTGACAAGTTCAAATTTAAAGTGACCTGTAACTTTTTAATAATTATCCCTTGTGTATGGAAAAATTATTTAATTAATGATTTGTTTTTTTTAAGAATTATGCAATCGTCTTAATGTGGGGATTAATAATTGAGATAAACAGTTTAAAAAATATATATATATTTTTAAAATTGACAAAAATTCTTGTTAAACTTTATTTATTAAAGTCACTACAGAAACCATAATTTGCCACCCAACCCAATCAAAGGGTTTAAAGCATCATGTGGTATTATAATACACTTAATTGCGTTGTTTAATTTTTAATTAGTGGTCCAATTTTAAAAATTTGCGCAATTTAGGATGTTGGGTCTATTTGGATTCTCGATTTTCCTTGGGTTGCCATCAAATCATAATAGAAATCATAAAATGAGATTTTCATCATACTAAAATTTATATATATATATATTTTTAACCCTATATCATAAAAAAAATGCCGTTACATCAGATTAATTTTATTATTTGATCTTATAGTTATAGGAAGTCATAGTAGCCATTTAATCCCATCCTGAGCTTCTAGCCCTAAGCTTGTCTAAGGTCTTCTAACATCCCTTTCTCAACTCAAGGCCTCCAAGGCATCAAATCAACCCAATTCTACTTCAAAATCAGTTTTGTGAGTTGCACTGTGAAAAATAAGTATGAAAAATATACGTAGAAGGGGCTAAATAGGTTTGACTTACTCTTTTATTTGATTTTTGCTAAATTTAATTTTTATCGAAATAAAAATTAACGATCAATCCACAAAACAAAAATAGAGTACAAATAATGTAAAACAAGAGTTAAAGTTTGACACCGAGATTTTAGGGAGGAATCTCTAATCGGAGAAATTCATTCAATTGAGAGAAAAACCTATGAGATTTTCACACAATCTCGAACAAAACGATCCACTATTTCGAAGCGAAGTACAATGGACTCAGACTTGAACTCACACCCACTCCACTCTACAAAGGCCTAGTTACTAAACGTCTCTCTGATTTTGCGATTCTCCCGTCCAAACGTAATAACCTTCAAACTTCCCCCTTAATCCTTGTAAAAGGGTTGTGGATTTAACATGAACACTCTGTGAATGCTCTATCCCTTTTGTAGCTCGATCAATCCCTTATTTCCTTCATATCTAAATTGGTGAAAGTAAAAGAACAACTCCACTTTTTTGAACAGTAACAACCGATCTTCATAATTCGAACCCAATAAATGGAGAGCAACATCTTAAATCACTCGTGTGTATAGTATGTGCAATCAAATTGAAAAACACTCGCATAAATCTCACAAAAAGGCTTTCTCAAAATTGCAAAAGTTGATATCAAAAACTATTAAAACACTAAGAGAGAGAGTGTTTGTATAGATTTTGTAGAGTCCTAAAATAACTTGTAAAACAAGTCTAATTCATACAAATCCTCCTACCGAAATCTAAAAAAAAAACAAAAGAAACCAAGTTTGATTAAAATTGTAATTTTAGTTTGGTTCCAGGGAAATCGGACCTGGACTAGTCCATCTTTGGCATTCAAGAATTTTTATCAATTTCAAAAATTACTATTGACCTAAAAACAACCAAAATTTAACACATGTGAGCACTTGGCTATGACTAATATGAAGTTCTCATCAAATCGGAGTTTGATTGCACGTTGTTCAACTTTTTGATTCTACTTCTGACATCGAAACTCAAAAATAAAATTTAAAACTACAAGACTAGTTTTGACACCAAAATTTACTAGTTACAAAGTTACATCTCATTAGTTTCTAATCTTTGAAGGAAATGAAAACTATGAAAGTGTTGTACCCAATAGTGAATCGTGCAAATACATGTGCTTAGATAGAGTTCAGATTTGATTGAATATCAAAGATTGAACTGTCATGATCATTTACACTTTATAGAAGGTTTTAACTATCTTCAAAAAATAATTAAGCGTTTTCAAAATATGATCAGAGTTTTTTGAGAATTTATTTTTCCTATAATTCTAAGTGAGCGTACTGTGATTTATGATGATATATTTCAAACGGTACTTAAACAATTGTTAAGACTTAATTGATATCGTTACACTCAACTTCGAGACTACTATAATAGATGCACAAGTGAAAAATATAACTACACATAAGCTGGGATTGTCAACAAGTCCTCACATGTTATTGATCATAGCCAAAGATGCATTGATATGTTGCAGGCATGCAAGGAACCAATAGTAAAGAAAAGACAAATATATAGTGTATGCTTTGTTTAGTTTTATTAAAACAAATTTTTATTTTTGAGAATTGAAAATTAAAATATTATAAAAAATATGCTTGGTTGACAATTTTTTAATGTTTTATAAAAACTTAGGTCCGTTTGATAATTATTTATGTTTAAAATTTATTATTTATATAAACATATTTTGAAGAAAAACACGTTTGTTAATATTGTTTATATTTAGCGATTATATAAATTCACTTATATAATTACTGTTCATACAAGCCAATTTTTTTTTTTCCTTCATAATTTCAAGCCAATTTTATAAACATCAAAACGAAGTTTTTTTTTTTTGCATGAAAAA